AGTTTAGCTAGTTATATTGCCGGATTATTTGAAGGTGATGGGCATATTTGGATTCCGTCTACAACACACGCTCCTTCTGGTAAATTTTATTCACCACGTTTTATGATTACTTTTGCTTTAAAGGATCTTCCTTTGGCTCAGTATCTTAGTAACCTTTTAGGAGGTGTTCAAATTAGAATTAAAGATTCTGAAAATGCCTGTGTTCTTACTATTAACAGTATTCCAATGTTAATTTTAGTGGTAAAATTGCTTAATGGTTTACTACGTACACCAAAAATCGAGCAGTTTAATGCACTAATCTATTGGTTAAAAGCTAATGGATATGCAGATTTAGACACTATGCCTGTTGATACTTCTTCTCTTCTAAAGAATGGATGGTTAGCAGGATTTATTGATGCGGATGGAGGTTTTAAAATTCGTATTACTCAACGTATTTTAGATGCCTGGGGTAAAGTTGCACGTAAAGGTCGTGTAGCTTGTTCATTTGTATTAGAGCAACGTATGCACTCATCTACAGGATTATCATATGAGCAAATTATGCTTTTATTATGTACTACATTTAAGTGCAAACTTAATAACTCTATGGATGTATTTATTACATTATGAACTTATCTTCTATGGTTCAATTACCATTATTAGTTAAATATCTTGACACTTATCCTCTTTTATCGTCTAAATACTTAGACTATCAAAATTGGCGTCAAGCTCATATTCTGATGCGGGAAGGTCAACACTTAACCCCTGAAGGGTTAGATCAGATTTCTAAATTGAAGTCTGAGATGAACAATTCTCGTACTCAGTATACTTGGAATCATCTTCCCTAATTTATAACTATTTAAAACTTGAAATACCCCTTCATTGCTTCAATAAATTATTGGATGCATATTACGCCGTCTTCATTGTAAAATGAATGATAATTATCTCACAATATTCTGGTAAAGTATGTATTTTTTATTAATTACAATTAACTAACAATATTATACTAGTTCAGAAAGCTATAAGCTTCAGAGACTTTTAAGTGAGAGTCCTTATAGGATCAAGATAAAGTCCGGTATATATATGAATAGTAAATATACACTATTTATATTTTTTATTAGGTTCCCTAGATTGAACAACATTTCTTTCTGGCTACTGCCTCCTTCATTAATTTTATTATTAACTAGTGCATTTGTTGAAAATGGTGCTGGAACAGGTTGGACGCTAATTATGGCATTAATATAGTTTTACAAACTTTTATTAATAAATCCTGTAATATACGTAAATTTTATATATGTAAAATATCTTCTATTATACGTAAGCATTTAATATAAATAGCTCAAAAGACTACAAACAGGAGATTTAAGTTAATTATTAGATATAACTGAAATTATTATATAGTCTATTTAATAGTTAAAATTAAAACTATTTTTAAATGATATCCACCTCTATCTAGTATCCAATCACACTCAGGAGCATCAGTTGATTTAGCTATTTTCAGTCTTCACCTATCAGGAGTTTCCTCACTTCTAGGTATTCATCGTGCCTAGAATAACTACTATTAAATTATTTTATATACTGTTTATTTGTATTAAAAATAAGAATGAAAAACATTCTCACAGATTATACTTATTAATTATAGAAAATATAATCGACATATTATAACTATTTATAATATTAATATGACATCTTTAATTGTCTATTTTAATAATGTTAAACCTATTGCCATTAAAAGGTGGTGGAATGTAAATAAATCTATTTTCCCACCAACTAACTGTACTTCAATTGTAGTATGGAATGGTATGAATACAACAGGTTTGACTGTAGGGTTGCCAAAATTCACATTATTTCTTAAATTAAGCCAGGCACTAACTTATTATCAATACTCAACAGTTGTAGGATTATTATTAAGTGATGCCATTTTAAGAGTTCACAAACTACCTACTGCTAGACTTATTTTCAAACAATCAATTGTTAATTTTAAATACTTTTTATTTGTTTGGTCTATCTTAGGATGTCTGTGTTCAAGTATGCCTTACCTAGAGTATACAAAGCTTCAAGGAAAAATTTTTCCTACTTTAATTCTTTCAACTAGAGCTTATGCTAGTTTAGGAGATTTATACACACTTTTTTATAATAATGGTAAAAGAGTAGTACCTGGAGATATTTATGATTTGATCAACCCTGTTTCTTTAGCTCATTTAATCATGGGAGATGGACAAGCCTCAACTCAAAAATATAAGGGTTTAACTTTATGTACAGATAATTTTAGCAACTACGATGTTGTACGTCTAATGAATGTGCTAAAAATTAAATATGACCTTAACACTAGTCTTCAATTCGCAGCAGGAAAACCTCGTATTTATTTCTATGGAAAAGAAATGGATAAATTGTTTGCTATTACTTATCTTCACATGGCACCATCTATGATGTACAAAATTGCATCCCGTTAGTTAATGTTTGTTTGAGCTGAAGTTTAGGATAGAAATAAAAGAGGGGCGATGAACTTTATTACAACTATCTTAAACATGCGTGCGCCGGGTATGAGTTTGCATAAACTACCTCTATTTGTATGGTCAGTATTTGTTACTTCTATCTTATTATTGTTATCATTACCAGTACTTGCTGGAGCCGTAACAATGTTACTAACAGATAGAAACTTCAATACATCATTCTATGACCCAGCAGGAGGTGGTGACCCTGTGCTATATCAGCACCTGTTCTAATATAAAATATCAACCAAACTGGAACAAAGGAAATAAATTTGTTTAAAGCAGGTGCTAATTATTATTTTTTAAGACTTTAAACATAGATTAGATTGTAAATCACAATTTAATTAAGATTTTCTAGTCCTATTCTTTAATACAATGTAATACTAAACTAAAAATTTGTGTAATTGGAATAGGATCACCTTACCGGGTGATCGGGATATAATATCTCCTGGCTATACTAGTGAATACGGTTAAAGATTCAGTAAATCTAGACCGTCGGTTAGTTTAGTAATCGCTACAGACTGGGTCACTAGTGGGTATCTGAAACGATGCTTGATGTACAGTCGATCTCTCAGATTTTATTTTTATAAAATTCACAAGGCCTTCTATGAAGAATAAACTAAATTATTAATATATTTAAATTAGGGATGTTTATTACTGAGAAGGTACATGGTCATATAGAACTGCTCTAAATTATAAATAAATAATTTAGATGCTATATGGATTTGAGAGGAGGGTTCTTCGGACACCCTGAGGTTTACATTATGATTCTACCAGCATTCGGAATTGTAAGTCATGTTGTATCAACATTCAGTGGTAAACCAATCTTCGGATACCTTGGAATGGTTTACGCTATGTTCAGTATTGGAATTTCAGGGTTCATTGTATGGTCGCATCACATGTACAGTGTTGGTCTGGATAAATTAAAATCATTAATTTTCACTAAGAGATTAAAAGAATTAGAAGAAAATGTTAAGAAGAAATTTCTAAGAGCTATGATTTTAGTAAAGGTCTTGATTACAATTACGACAAAGTCAGACAATTATTATTTGGATAGGAGATGGTTATCTAGAAATGCAACCTAGATCTATTAATGCCAGATTTTCTATTGTTCAATCAATTATTCACAATGATTACATTCATGAATTAGCATATCAATTTCTATTCTTTGCTCAATATACATTAAATGAGAGTAAGTACTTAGATCCTAGAACTTCTAAGGTATATCACATTGTTAAACTTATAACTAACGTAGATGAATTATTCACTGAATCTTACTACATGTTCTACGTAGATGGAGTAAAAATTATTCCATCCGATCTTTCACTACTTACTCCTTATGCCTTAGCTCATGTTATTATGTGTGACGGTTCTTTCCACAAACATACTGGATCGTTATACTTATGCACAGATGGACTCACAGTTGAAGATACTACATACCTTAAATCTACTTATGGAGTATCTTACACTCTTCAGAAGTCACCTAGTAAATTAGGTAAAATTGGTCTATCTAAGCGTATTTACATTCCTCGTCATAGTGTGGATACAATTAGAAAGGCTGTGTTACCATACATGGTGCCATCTATGCTATATAAGCTAGGCATTTAATTGATTTTTACATCCCTCATACTAGTGATAGTATAAGCAACTTTTCTCTGATTTATTATAAATTTGAATTAGTATTCACTAAAAACATGGCTATGATAAATACAATCCATTTGCTTAAATTAATAAAAAGAACTCTTATTTGTACTTTAAAAAAGTTATAATCAAATAATATTGTTAAATTAGCAGATAATAATATATCTCAAAGAATATATGATTATAATAAGTTATATTCTATTTTAATACTTATATTTGTTAACTTTAATTTTGTTATTACATAGATTTGTAGTTAACAGGGTTAATAAATACATAGTAATAATTACCGCATGCCAGCATTAATGGGAGGATTTGGTAAAAATTAATTGCCTACTTATAAATAGTATAAGTAAACCTATCTAAATGAGATACTTTATTTTTAATAATCTCAGGAATATAAAGTTCCTTAGAGACTATACGAATCTAATTATTATTTAATAATAATATAATTATGTTATAGTCCGTGTTAATATAAATATATTTACATAAGAATTATTTCGTACCAGTGCAAGTTGGTGCACCAGACATGGCAAAAAGAAATGCAAGCACTAATTCACCTACACCAAATGATCCTAATGTACCTAAATTAAAAAGTTTAGCTAGTTATATTGCCGGATTATTTGAAGGTGATGGGCATATTTGGATTCCGTCTACAACACACGCTCCTTCTGGTAAATTTTATTCACCACGTTTTATGATTACTTTTGCTTTAAAGGATCTTCCTTTGGCTCAGTATCTTAGTAACCTTTTAGGAGGTGTTCAAATTAGAATTAAAGATTCTGAAAATGCCTGTGTTCTTACTATTAACAGTATTCCAATGTTAATTTTAGTGGTAAAATTGCTTAATGGTTTACTACGTACACCAAAAATCGAGCAGTTTAATGCACTAATCTATTGGTTAAAAGCTAATGGATATGCAGATTTAGACACTATGCCTGTTGATACTTCTTCTCTTCTAAAGAATGGATGGTTAGCAGGATTTATTGATGCGGATGGAGGTTTTAAAATTCGTATTACTCAACGTATTTTAGATGCCTGGGGAAAAGTTGCACGTAAAGGTCGTGTAGCTTGTTCATTTGTATTAGAGCAACGTATGCACTCATCTACAGGATTATCATATGAGCAAATTATGCTTTTATTATGTACTACATTTAAGTGCAAACTTAATAACTCTATGGATGTATTTATTACATTATGAACTTATCTTCTATGGTTCAATTACCATTATTAGTTAAATATCTTGACACTTATCCTCTTTTATCGTCTAAATACTTAGACTATCAAAATTGGCGTCAAGCTCATATTCTGATGCGGGAAGGTCAACACTTAACCCCTGAAGGGTTAGATCAGATTTCTAAATTGAAGTCTGAGATGAACAATTCTCGTACTCAGTATACTTGGAATCATCTTCCCTAATTTATAACTATTTAAAACTTGAAATACCCCTTCATTGCTTCAATAAATTATTGGATGCATATTACGCCGTCTTCATTGTAAAATGAATGATAATTATCTCACAATATTCTGGTAAAGTATGTATTTTTTATTAATTACAATTAACTAACAATATTATACTAGTTCAGAAAGCTATAAGCTTCAGAGACTTTTAAGTGAGAGTCCTTATAGGATCAAGATAAAGTCCGGTATATATATGAATAGTAAATATACACTATTTATATTTTTTATTAGGTTCCCTAGATTGAACAACATTTCTTTCTGGCTACTGCCTCCTTCATTAATTTTATTATTAACTAGTGCATTTGTTGAAAATGGTGCTGGAACAGGTTGGACGCTAATTATGGCATTAATATAGTTTTACAAACTTTTATTAATAAATCCTGTAATATACGTAAATTTTATATATGTAAAATATCTTCTATTATACGTAAGCATTTAATATAAATAGCTCAAAAGACTACAAACAGGAGATTTAAGTTAATTATTAGATATAACTGAAATTATTATATAGTCTATTTAATAGTTAAAATTAAAACTATTTTTAAATGATATCCACCTCTATCTAGTATCCAATCACACTCAGGAGCATCAGTTGATTTAGCTATTTTCAGTCTTCACCTATCAGGAGTTTCCTCACTTCTAGGTATTCATCGTGCCTAGAATAACTACTATTAAATTATTTTATATACTGTTTATTTGTATTAAAAATAAGAATGAAAAACATTCTCACAGATTATACTTATTAATTATAGAAAATATAATCGACATATTATAACTATTTATAATATTAATATGACATCTTTAATTGTCTATTTTAATAATGTTAAACCTATTGCCATTAAAAGGTGGTGGAATGTAAATAAATCTATTTTCCCACCAACTAACTGTACTTCAATTGTAGTATGGAATGGTATGAATACAACAGGTTTGACTGTAGGGTTGCCAAAATTCACATTATTTCTTAAATTAAGCCAGGCACTAACTTATTATCAATACTCAACAGTTGTAGGATTATTATTAAGTGATGCCATTTTAAGAGTTCACAAACTACCTACTGCTAGACTTATTTTCAAACAATCAATTGTTAATTTTAAATACTTTTTATTTGTTTGGTCTATCTTAGGATGTCTGTGTTCAAGTATGCCTTACCTAGAGTATACAAAGCTTCAAGGAAAAATTTTTCCTACTTTAATTCTTTCAACTAGAGCTTATGCTAGTTTAGGAGATTTATACACACTTTTTTATAATAATGGTAAAAGAGTAGTACCTGGAGATATTTATGATTTGATCAACCCTGTTTCTTTAGCTCATTTAATCATGGGAGATGGACAAGCCTCAACTCAAAAATATAAGGGTTTAACTTTATGTACAGATAATTTTAGCAACTACGATGTTGTACGTCTAATGAATGTGCTAAAAATTAAATATGACCTTAACACTAGTCTTCAATTCGCAGCAGGAAAACCTCGTATTTATTTCTATGGAAAAGAAATGGATAAATTGTTTGCTATTACTTATCTTCACATGGCACCATCTATGATGTACAAAATTGCATCCCGTTAGTTAATGTTTGTTTGAGCTGAAGTTTAGGATAGAAATAAAAGAGGGGCGATGAACTTTATTACAACTATCTTAAACATGCGTGCGCCGGGTATGAGTTTGCATAAACTACCTCTATTTGTATGGTCAGTATTTGTTACTTCTATCTTATTATTGTTATCATTACCAGTACTTGCTGGAGCCGTAACAATGTTACTAACAGATAGAAACTTCAATACATCATTCTATGACCCAGCAGGAGGTGGTGACCCTGTGCTATATCAGCACCTGTTCTAATATAAAATATCAACCAAACTGGAACAAAGGAAATAAATTTGTTTAAAGCAGGTGCTAATTATTATTTTTTAAGACTTTAAACATAGATTAGATTGTAAATCACAATTTAATTAAGATTTTCTAGTCCTATTCTTTAATACAATGTAATACTAAACTAAAAATTTGTGTAATTGGAATAGGATCACCTTACCGGGTGATCGGGATATAATATCTCCTGGCTATACTAGTGAATACGGTTAAAGATTCAGTAAATCTAGACCGTCGGTTAGTTTAGTAATCGCTACAGACTGGGTCACTAGTGGGTATCTGAAACGATGCTTGATGTACAGTCGATCTCTCAGATTTTATTTTTATAAAATTCACAAGGCCTTCTATGAAGAATAAACTAAATTATTAATATATTTAAATTAGGGATGTTTATTACTGAGAAGGTACATGGTCATATAGAACTGCTCTAAATTATAAATAAATAATTTAGATGCTATATGGATTTGAGAGGAGGGTTCTTCGGACACCCTGAGGTTTACATTATGATTCTACCAGCATTCGGAATTGTAAGTCATGTTGTATCAACATTCAGTGGTAAACCAATCTTCGGATACCTTGGAATGGTTTACGCTATGTTCAGTATTGGAATTTCAGGGTTCATTGTATGGTCGCATCACATGTACAGTGTTGGTCTGGATAAATTAAAATCATTAATTTTCACTAAGAGATTAAAAGAATTAGAAGAAAATGTTAAGAAGAAATTTCTAAGAGCTATGATTTTAGTAAAGGTCTTGATTACAATTACGACAAAGTCAGACAATTATTATTTGGATAGGAGATGGTTATCTAGAAATGCAACCTAGATCTATTAATGCCAGATTTTCTATTGTTCAATCAATTATTCACAATGATTACATTCATGAATTAGCATATCAATTTCTATTCTTTGCTCAATATACATTAAATGAGAGTAAGTACTTAGATCCTAGAACTTCTAAGGTATATCACATTGTTAAACTTATAACTAACGTAGATGAATTATTCACTGAATCTTACTACATGTTCTACGTAGATGGAGTAAAAATTATTCCATCCGATCTTTCACTACTTACTCCTTATGCCTTAGCTCATGTTATTATGTGTGACGGTTCTTTCCACAAACATACTGGATCGTTATACTTATGCACAGATGGACTCACAGTTGAAGATACTACATACCTTAAATCTACTTATGGAGTATCTTACACTCTTCAGAAGTCACCTAGTAAATTAGGTAAAATTGGTCTATCTAAGCGTATTTACATTCCTCGTCATAGTGTGGATACAATTAGAAAGGCTGTGTTACCATACATGGTGCCATCTATGCTATATAAGCTAGGCATTTAATTGATTTTTACATCCCTCATACTAGTGATAGTATAAGCAACTTTTCTCTGATTTATTATAAATTTTTAATACCCAAATTACAGTCGATCTCTCAGATTTTATTTTTATAAAATTCACAAGGCCTTCTATGAAGAATAAACTAAATTATTAATATATTTAAATTAGGGATGTTTATTACTGAGAAGGTACATGGTCATATAGAACTGCTCTAAATTATAAATAAATAATTTAGATGCTATATGGATTTGAGAGGAGGGTTCTTCGGACACCCTGAGGTTTACATTATGATTCTACCAGCATTCGGAATTGTAAGTCATGTTGTATCAACATTCAGTGGTAAACCAATCTTCGGATACCTTGGAATGGTTTACGCTATGTTCAGTATTGGAATTTTAGGGTTCATTGTATGGTCGCATCACATGTACAGTGTTGGTCTGGATAAATTAAAATCATTAATTTTCACTAAGAGATTAAAAGAATTAGAAGAAAATGTTAAGAAGAAATTTCTAAGAGCTATGATTTTAGTAAAGGTCTTGATTACAATTACGACAAAGTCAGACAATTATTATTTGGATAGGAGATGGTTATCTAGAAATGCAACCTAGATCTATTAATGCCAGATTTTCTATTGTTCAATCAATTATTCACAATGATTACATTCATGAATTAGCATATCAATTTCTATTCTTTGCTCAATATACATTAAATGAGAGTAAGTACTTAGATCCTAGAACTTCTAAGGTATATCACATTGTTAAACTTATAACTAACGTAGATGAATTATTCACTGAATTTTACTACATGTTCTACGTAGATGGAGTAAAAATTATTCCATCCGATCTTTCACTACTTACTCCTTATGCCTTAGCTCATGTTATTATGTGTGACGGTTCTTTCCACAAACATACTGGATCGTTATACTTATGCACAGATGGATTCACAGTTGAAGATACTACATACCTTAAATCTACTTATGGAGTATCTTACACTCTTCAGAAGTCACCTAGTAAATTAGGTAAAATTGGTCTATCTAAGCGTATTTACATTCCTCGTCATAGTGTGGATACAATTAGAAAGGCTGTGTTACCATACATGGTGCCATCTATGCTATATAAGCTAGGCATTTAATTGATTTTTACATCCCTCATACTAGTGATAGTATAAGCAACTTTTCTCTGATTTATTATAAATTTTTAATACCCAAATTATAATAATGTTAAAACTTAACATAACGACTTTACGAGAAAGACCTTAAAATAAGGTTAATATAAAGTCTAGATTATTAAATAAACTTTATTTAATAAAACTGGTTGACACAAGAGCTTACTTTACAGCTGCAACTATGGTTATTGCTGTCCCAACAGGGATTAAAATCTTCAGTTGGTTAGCGACACTATATGGAGGATCAATTAGATTCACTACTCCAATGTTATTCACATTAGGATTCCTATTATTATTCACTATTGGAGGACTTACAGGAGTTGTGCTAGCTAATGCTTCAATGGACGTTGCATTACACGATAAATAAATATAATAACTATTATGTGTCGTGTTTAATAAAAATAAATGCTTATATTATAATTAACAATTATACTTAATAAAAGTTATAATTAATTGTAGATATTTTCTATAAGCAAAGTATATCTTTTAGAGACTATTAATAAGATATAGTCCAATTTATAAATTAAGATATTTATATCGAAAAGACATACTATGTCGTAGCACATTTCCACTATGTGTTATCAATGGGAGCTGTATTCGGATTATTTGCCGGATTCTATTATTGGACACCTAAATTAATTGGACAAACATTCAACGAACAACTAGGTAGAATTCACTTCTGGACATTATTCATTGGAGTTAACTTAACTTTCTTCCCTTTTATTTCTAAAATTTAAACAAAATTGGGGGAAGTAAAAAATAGCTATATGCGTGAATTTTTATTAAATGTATATATATATATTATTAAGTAAAGTAATACGCAGGATTGATATATCCTCAAAGATCTTACACTAATAAAAGATTAGATCTACTTTCATTAAGTTATTTCATTTAAACATAAATTTCATTTTAAATAATTAGTGACACAGAATGCAACACTTTCTTGGCCTACAAGGTATGCCGCGTAGAATTGTAGATTATCCTGATGCCTTTGCAGGATTTAATGCAATTTCATCATTTGGATCATTAGTATCTGTAGTAGCAACATTGTTATTCTTATACATTATCTACGATATCTTTGCTAACGGAGAAGAAGTTTCTGCTAACCCATGGGCTGTGCCTGCTTTCTTCCAATCAACACCATTAGGTTATGCTGGAATTGGACACGATGTAACTGTAGCACCTTCATTAGAATGGTCAGTATCATCACCAACACCTTTCCACGCATTTGATAACCTACCGGTACAATCATAAATCAATTATTAAAAATTTTTAATACCCCTTTTATTTATTTTATTATGATATCTACGGATATTATTTCCTTTGTATATCAGAGTGATTTATTCAAAGTAAAATGCCACAACTATTACCGTTCTACTTTTTGAACCAGTACGTATTTGCCTTAGTTGCATTATTTGCTGTAGTTTACGTATTATCAAAATACATCTTACCTTACTTTGTACAATTACAAGTATCTAGAGTATTTATCACTAAATTATAGTATTGTTCTATAATTTATAATTTATAATCAATCAAATTAAATTAATTAAACCCCTTCCTATTATGGGTTATATTAGTGAAAATGGTTTTATTTGAAGTTCAATTCTTCAATTCACTTATTGTAGATGAGTATTCTGCATGCAGTAACCGTTATATATTTTGTTACTGGAAATTTTAGGTTATAGAATAATTTATTTTATTAATTATTTCTATGTTTGCATAATAATAATTATGATTTTTGAAATGCACGCTATTAAAAGACACCAATTTCAACCTTTCCCTTATCATTTAGTAGATCCAAGTCCTTGGCCACTACTAACATCATTTGCATTATTAACATTTGCAGTTTCTGCTGTGTTATTTTTCCATTCATTTCCTAATTCTGGTTACATGTTAACATTAGGATTATTCTTAACTACAGCTGTTATGATCCTATGGTTCAGAGATGTAGTTACTGAAGGTACATTATTAGGAGACCACACTGTAGCTGTTCAACATGGTTTAACACTAGGAACAGCATTATTCATTACATCTGAAGTATTTGTATTCGTTAGTGTATTCTGGGCTTACTTCCATAGTGCACTATCACCTACTGTTGAATTAGGAGCTGTTTGGCCACCTCACAACTTTTCTCTGATTTATTATAAATTTTTAATACCCAAATTATAATAATGTTAAAACTTAACATAACGACTTTACGAGAAAGACCTTAAAATAAGGTTAATATAAAGTCTAGATTATTAAATAAACTTTATTTAATAAAACTGGTTGACACAAGAGCTTACTTTACAGCTGCAACTATGGTTATTGCTGTCCCAACAGGGATTAAAATCTTCAGTTGGTTAGCGACACTATATGGAGGATCAATTAGATTCACTACTCCAATGTTATTCACATTAGGATTCCTATTATTATTCACTATTGGAGGACTTACAGGAGTTGTGCTAGCTAATGCTTCAATGGACGTTGCATTACACGATAAATAAATATAATAACTATTATGTGTCGTGTTTAATAAAAATAAATGCTTATATTATAATTAACAATTATACTTAATAAAAGTTATAATTAATTGTAGATATTTTCTATAAGCAAAGTATATCTTTTAGAGACTATTAATAAGATATAGTCCAATTTATAAATTAAGATATTTATATCGAAAAGACATACTATGTCGTAGCACATTTCCACTATGTGTTATCAATGGGAGCTGTATTCGGATTATTTGCCGGATTCTATTATTGGACACCTAAATTAATTGGACAAACATTCAACGAACAACTAGGTAGAATTCACTTCTGGACATTATTCATTGGAGTTAACTTAACTTTCTTCCCTTTTATTTCTAAAATTTAAACAAAATTGGGGGAAGTAAAAAATAGCTATATGCGTGAATTTTTATTAAATGTATATATATATATTATTAAGTAAAGTAATACGCAGGATTGATATATCCTCAAAGATCTTACACTAATAAAAGATTAGATCTACTTTCATTAAGTTATTTCATTTAAACATAAATTTCATTTTAAATAATTAGTGACACAGAATGCAACACTTTCTTGGCCTACAAGGTATGCCGCGTAGAATTGTAGATTATCCTGATGCCTTTGCAGGATTTAATGCAATTTCATCATTTGGATCATTAGTATCTGTAGTAGCAACATTGTTATTCTTATACATTATCTACGATATCTTTGCTAACGGAGAAGAAGTTTCTGCTAACCCATGGGCTGTGCCTGCTTTCTTCCAATCAACACCATTAGGTTATGCTGGAATTGGACACGATGTAACTGTAGCACCTTCATTAGAATGGTCAGTATCATCACCAACACCTTTCCACGCATTTGATAACCTACCGGTACAATCATAAATCAATTATTAAAAATTTTTAATACCCCTTTTATTTATTTTATTATGATATCTACGGATATTATTTCCTTTGTATATCAGAGTGATTTATTCAAAGTAAAATGCCACAACTATTACCGTTCTACTTTTTGAACCAGTACGTATTTGCCTTAGTTGCATTATTTGCTGTAGTTTACGTATTATCAAAATACATCTTACCTTACTTTGTACAATTACAAGTATCTAGAGTATTTATCACTAAATTATAGTATTGTTCTATAATTTATAATTTATAATCAATCAAATTAAATTAATTAAACCCCTTCCTATTATGGGTTATATTAGTGAAAATGGTTTTATTTGAAGTTCAATTCTTCAATTCACTTATTGTAGATGAGTATTCTGCATGCAGTAACCGTTATATATTTTGTTACTGGAAATTTTAGGTTATAGAATAATTTATTTTATTAATTATTTCTATGTTTGCATAATAATAATTATGATTTTTGAAATGCACGCTATTAAAAGACACCAATTTCAACCTTTCCCTTATCATTTAGTAGATCCAAGTCCTTGGCCACTACTAACATCATTTGCATTATTAACATTTGCAGTTTCTGCTGTGTTATTTTTCCATTCATTTCCTAATTCTGGTTACATGTTAACATTAGGATTATTCTTAACTACAGCTGTTATGATCCTATGGTTCAGAGATGTAGTTACTGAAGGTACATTATTAGGAGACCACACTGTAGCTGTTCAACATGGTTTAACACTAGGAACAGCATTATTCATTACATCTGAAGTATTTGTATTCGTTAGTGTATTCTGGGCTTACTTCCATAGTGCACTATCACCTACTGTTGAATTAGGAGCTGTTTGGCCACCTCAAGGTATTGAGGCTCTAGATCCTTACGCATTACCATTATTAAACACAGTATTACTACTATCTAGTGGTGCTACTGTTACATGGGCACACCATTCATTAATCCAAGGAGATAGAAAAGGTGCAATTATTGGAAATATTCTAACAGTTGTATTAGCATTATTATTCACATATTGTCAATATATCGAATATAGTACTGCTCCATTCTCTATGTCTGACTCAGTATATGGATCAACATTCTATGCTGCTACTGGATTACATGCTATCCATGTTATTATTGGTAACCTATTTATTATGGTAGGAGCTGTAAGACTAGTATTATACCACTTAACTAACCATCACCACATTGGTTATGAGTCAGCTATTCTTTATTGGCAAACAAAAATGCCTCACTATTTACTGAAATAGAAGTTAATCTTATTAAATGTCTAGTGTTATAAATAAATTAAGTACTTAATTAAGTAATAATCTTAAATTAAAAATTTATTTACAGACAGAATTATATTCTTAGAGACTTTACATATAAAATATAAAACATGTTTTTATATTAAGATAAAGTCCATTTATTACAAATTTAGACTGATTTTGTTGATGTAGTTTGGCTTATTCTTTATATCTCAGTGTACATGTGGGGTTCTTAAGGTTTAAGGTACACAATTTAGACTCTATTAAATTAATTACACCCCTCCCGATAATAAGATATCTTATATTATATATATATATGTATAGACGACTTTAATTAATAAAAAATACTACTCTGTAATTATTATACTATTATTAATTAATTAATCCAATTAAAGGTAATAATATATTTGTTACATATTTATTAATATATTTGTGGCATATTCTATTTTTTTAAAAACGGTGGGATTAGCTCAATCGGTAGAGCGTCTATATGTGGCATAGAAGGCACATGGTTCGAATCCATGATCTCATCCGCTATAAATACACAACTAATGTAATAACAACTTAAAAAATTTGACACATTCTTATTTAATTATAAAAAATATTAAATTCTTTTATTTTAGTACTTATATTTTCATTTTATTCTATTATAATTGTTGTTGTCAAATAAGGAAATTTCTACATTTTAATTATTATATAATATAGTAAGATTTTAATACAATTATTTATACTAAAAAAGTTATACTAATTATTTTAATTTTACATATTATCTAAGTTTTACAGTAAATAAAAAATAAGTAATGTATATATTCATTATTTATTTAGAATATTAAAACTATAAAATGCTTTATTAAGTAATCAAAAAGTTATATATTTAAAACTGAATATAAATTATAGGGTGTTATTATACATTTAATATAAAAATATATAAAATAAACTTGGTTGTGTAATTTATATAAATAGCTTTGATACCCCTTATTAAATAGTTAAAAATAATAATAAGAGTGTATAATTAAGTTATAAGTTAAGTTTATTAAATCATATAAAAAATCAATGTATATATAAATTTATAATTATCTTTTTTTACTGGTTTATTTATTGTGTTTATTTTTTTTGTTTTATTTTCTTTGTGATATTCTATTAATTGTTCCCAGCATGAGTCGAACATACCTCTCACGTGCTTCAAACGTGCACTCTGACCACTGAGCTATGGGAACGATAATTGATATATAAGGGTTTTGGAGTATTAGGGAATCGAACCCTAAACTCTATCGTGCAAAAATAGTGTTATACCATTGTAACTAATACCCCTTACAAATTACCGATAGTAAATAATTATAAAAATGCATATCAATCATATATTACCTATATCTTATAAAATATTATATTATTTAATTGTAATAATAAGTAAAATATAACTTTAAATAGAATATAATTATTATTTTTTATTATTCTTTAGGAGATTTTAGTTATTAACTATTCTGTGTTAAATTGATTATTTACGAGTGCGACCGGACTCGAACCGGCATGGCTATTCTCGACAAGAATATATATTGACCGATTATACTACACACCCATTTACCTTTATAATAAAAATAAATAAATAAAGGTAAATCATAAGATTATATTAGTAATTATAATAAATATAGTGTATATAATAGAAGATTATACGAGAAGAGTCCATATTGGTATTGGAGCTTGCTTTGGGAGTCAGTAGTTTTGCGTTCGAATCGCATCTTCTCGATTGATAGAAATAATAAATAATAATCTTAAATTAAAAATTTATTTACAGACAGAATTATATTCTTAGAGACTTTACATATAAAATATAAAACATGTTTTTATATTAAGATAAAGTCCATTTATTACAAATTTAGACTGATTTTGTTGATGTAGTTTGGCTTATTCTTTATATCTCAGTGTACATGTGGGGTTCTTAAGGTTTAAGGTACACAATTTAGACTCGATTAAATTAATTAAACCCCTCCCGATAATAAGATATCTTATATTATATATATATATGTATAGACGACTTTAATTAATAAAAAATACTACTCTGTAATTATTATACTATTATTAATTAATTAATCCAATTAAAGGTAATAATATATTTGTTACATATTTATTAATATATTTGTGGCATATTCTATTTTTTTAAAAACGGTGGGATTAGCTCAATCGGTAGAGCGTCTATATGTGGCATAGAAGGCACATGGTTCGAATCCATGATCTCATCCGCTATAAATACACAACTAATGTAATAACAACTTAAAAAATTTGACACATTCTTATTTAATTATAAAAAATATTAAATTCTTTTATTTTAGTACTTATATTTTCATTTTATTCTATTATAATTGTTGTTGTCAAATAAGGAAATTTCTACATTTTAATTATTATATAATATAGTAAGATTTTAATACAATTATTTATACTAAAAAAGTTATACTAATTATTTTAATTTTACATATTATCTAAGTTTTACAGTAAATAAAAAATAAGTAATGTATATATTCATTATTTATTTAGAATATTAAAACTATAAAATGCTTTATTAAGTAATCAAAAAGTTATATATTTAAAACTGAATATAAATTATAGGGTGTTATTATACATTTAATATAAAAATATATAAAATAAACTTGGTTGTGTAATTTATATAAATAGCTTTGATACCCCTTATTAAATAGTTAAAAATAATAATAAGAGTGTATAATTAAGTTATAAGTTAAGTTTATTAAATCATATAAAAAATCAATGTATATATAAATTTATAATTATCTTTTTTTACTGGTTTATTTATTGTGTTTATTTTTTTTGTTTTATTTTCTTTGTGATATTCTATTAATTGTTCCCAGCATGAGTCGAACATACCTCTCACGTGCTTCAAACGTGCACTCTGACCACTGAGCTATGGGAACGATAATTGATATATAAGGGTTTTGGAGTATTAGGGAATCGAACCCTAAACTCTATCGTGCAAAAATAGTGTTATACCATTGTAACTAATACCCCTTACAAATTACCGATAGTAAATAATTATAAAAATGCATATCAATCATATATTACCTATATCTTATAAAATATTATATTATTTAATTGTAATAATAAGTAAAATATAACTTTAAATAGAATATAATTATTATTTTTTATTATTCTTTAGGAGATTTTAGTTATTAACTATTCTGTGTTAAATTGATTATTTACGAGTGCGACCGGACTCGAACCGGCATGGCTATTCTCGACAAGAATATATATTGACCGATTATACTACACACCCATTTACCTTTATAATAAAAATAAATAAATAAAGGTAAATCATAAGATTATATTAGTAATTATAATAAATATAGTGTATATAATAGAAGATTATACGAGAAGAGTCCATATTGGTATTGGAGCTTGCTTTGGGAGTCAGTAGTTTTGCGTTCGAATCGCATCTTCTCGATTGATAGAAATAATAAATAAATTAATTAATAAAATAACTATTTTTAAAAATTTCAATTTAGTTTAAGAGCGGGTAGTTTAATGGTAGAACGTACAGCCGATAACTGTAAGGTATTAGGTTCAATTCCTTTCCGGCTCATTAAGACAAAATAGAATATAATATAAATTTATATATTGATAGTAAATTAATTAAATATTGAAGGGTGTCGTACAACGGCAAGTATATCAAATTCCAAATTTGAGGATGGTGGTTCGATTCCGCCCACCCTTGTTTTATTGTAATATAAGTATTATAAGTAATATAATAAATATAAGTAATATTAATAGTAATAATACTAGTAAAACTTAATTATCTTTAATAGTTATTCATACATTTGTAAATTTGAGGGTAAATCTTTTTTCTTATTCCTAAGTCATTCATACATAATTAAAATAAAAAATAATAATAAAAATATTAAATATAAAAAGGTTTAAAAATAATAATTAATAATAAATAAATATGTTAATTAATAAAGGTATCATAAAGCATATGGAAATAATTGTTAAGTAATTAAAGGATTTACGATGGATGTCTTGAGGTCTAATTTTTGAGAGGTCAATAGTACCAAAAGTGTATTTAATTAATAGTTTTTAATACACATTCTCTGGTGAAAACTTTGTTTTATTTACTTCGGGAACAGAATCATCTAATTACCGAAAGGAAAAGAAATCAACCGAGATATTGATAGTAACGGCGAGTGAATTCAATAAAGCCTTTCTAAAAATAAATCAAATAATATTTTGGAATAAATAATTAAAAAATCAGTTTGAAACTGACAATATAAAGTGATAGTCTTATATTTGGTTTATTAATAGATATATAATAAGTAATATGGGTAAAACTGTATGAATGTTCTTATAAATATAAGAATAAATAAGGAGTTATCATCTTCTAAGGCTAAATATGATTAGATCATCAATAGTGAAGAGTAACGTGAGTGAAAGATGAAAAGACAGTCGATGACTTGTGAAAAAGATCCTGAAATCGTAAATCTATAAGCAGTCAGAGTCTAATTAAAAAAATTGGATGATGATGTACCTTTTGCATAATGAGTCAGCGAGTAAATATTAATAGCAAGATATAAAAGAAGTCCTAGTGAAAACGACTTAATCATTTTTAATGGTTATGGTAGAAGTTATTAATATTTGACCCGAAACCTTAAGATTTAGCCATGGTCAGATTTATTGGATCGAACAGGTGAGTGTTGCAAAACTCTCTGATGAACTGTGGCTGGCGAAGTGAAAGACAAATCTGTTGAGGATAGCTGGTTCTCCACGAAATATATCTTAGTATAGACTGTAAAGAAAAATTCTAATCCTGTACAGCACTGATATTCATATCATTTTTGATTAAATAGGGGGGTTTATTAAACTCTACCTTTGAATGTTAACCTCGGAATTGGTTAGAATGATATTACAGATTCAGACTATTTGTGATAAGGTGGATAGTCAAAAGGGAAACAGCCCTGAACACATGTTAAAGTTCTTAAATTAATATTAAGTGAATGTAAGGATGTTTTAATTCGATGACAGTTATGAAGTGTATCTGGAAGTCGTAATCTAATAATGAAAGTGTAACAACTCAATAACCTACTGGTATTTTATTTAGAAATAAATAATTTACTGAATTGAAGCGCCGAAAATTCATAGGATCTTTAAATATTATACTGATACTGTGTTTGCATATAAAAAGTATATGTAAGGTAGTGGAGTGTTCTATTATAGGACGAAGGTTAGTTTTTATATTAACTGGACTTAATAGAAGTAATAATGCTGATATGAGTAACGTAATAACAGGTTAAACCCTGTACCTCTTAAGCGATAGGTTTCTTATTAAATGTTAAACAGAATAAGTTTAAACGGTCTCTAAGGTAAATAAACTTATGTTTATGACTGATGAGGAATTTATATAAAAAGTTTTTCTTTAAAAACTCAGGAAAATGTATAAATATTCACCGTACTAAAAACCGACACAGGTTCGCGCATAGAGTATATCAAGAGGTGAATCAATTACCCTTAAGGAACTCGGCAAATTGCACTCGTACGTTAGACAATAAGAGTGACCACACTAAGGGGTATCATACAATCGGGACCTGCGACTGTTTCCCAAAAACACAGATCTCTGCAACGATTAATTTCTTAGTATAGGGATCGAGTCCTGCTCAGTGCCAAGACGCTAAATAGGTAACTCTAATTAATAGTTAGGGAAGACTTATAACGTCTGGTAATCAGCAGTCTTAACTAAAAGGATTCTAAGGTAGCTAAATTCCTTGGCAGAGGTCAATAGTACCAAAAGTGTATTTAATTAATAGTTTTTAATACACATTCTCTGGTGAAAACTTTGTTTTATTTACTTCGGGAACAGAATCATCTAATTACCGAAAGGAAAAGAAATCAACCGAGATATTGATAGTAACGGCGAGTGAATTCCATAAAGCCTTTCTAAAAATAAATCAAATAATATTTTGGAATAAATAATTAAAAAATCAGTTTGAAACTGACAATATAAAGTGATAGCCTTCTATTTGGTTTATTAATAGATATATAATAAGTAATATGGGTAAAACTGTATGAATGTTCTTATAAATATAAGAATAAATAAGGAGTTATCATCTTCTAAGGCTAAATATGATTAGATCATCAATAGTGAAGAGTAACGTGAGTGAAAGATGAAAAGACAGTCGATGACTTGTGAAAAAGATCCTGAAATCGTAAATCTCTAAGCAGTCAGAGTCTAATTAAAAAAATTGGATGATGATGTACCTTTTGCATAATGAGTCAGCGAGTAAATATTAATAGCAAGATATAAAAGAAGTCCTAGTGAAAACGACTTAATCATTTTTAATGGTTATGGTAGAAGTTATTAATATTTGACCCGAAACCTTAAGATTTAGCCATGGTCAGATTTATTGGATCGAACAGGTGAGTGTTGCAAAACTCTCTGATGAACTGTGGCTGGCGAAGTGAAAGACAAATCTGTTGAGGATAGCTGGTTCTCCACGAAATATATCTTAGTATAGACTGTAAAGAAAAATTCTAATCCTGTACAGCACTGATATTCATATCATTTTTGATTAAATAGGGGGGTTTATTAAACTCTACCTTTGAATGTTAACCTCGGAATTGGTTAGAATGATATTACAGATTCAGACTATTTGTGATAAGGTGGATAGTCAAAAGGGAAACAGCCCTGAACACATGTTAAAGTTCTTAAATTAATATTAAGTGAATGTAAGGATGTTTTAATTCGATGACAGTTATGAAGTGTATCTGGAAGTCGTAATCTAATAATGAAAGTGTAACAACTCAATAACCTACTGGTATTTTATTTAGAAATAAATAATTTACTGAATTGAAGCGCCGAAAATTCATAGGATCTTTAAATATTATACTGATACTGTGTTTGCATATAAAAATTATATGTAAGGTAGTGGAGTGTTCTATTATAGGACGAAGGTTAGTTTTTATATTAACTGGACTTAATAGAAGTAATAATGCTGATATGAGTAACGTAATAACAGGTTAAACCCTGTACCTCTTAAGCGATAGGTTTCTTATTAAATGTTAAACAGAATAAGTTTAAACGGTCTCTAAGGTAAATAAACTTATGTTTATGACTGATGAGGAATTTATATAAAAAGTTTTTCTTTAAAAACTCAGGAAAATGTATAAATATTCACCGTACTAAAAACCGACACAGGTTCGCGCATAGAGTATATCAAGAGGTGAATCAATTACCCTTAAGGAACTCGGCAAATTGCACTCGTACGTTAGACAATAAGAGTGACCACACTAAGTGGTATCATACAATCGGGACCTGCGACTGTTTCCCAAAAACACAGATCTCTGCAACGATTAATTTCTTAGTATAGGGATCGAGTCCTGCTCAGTGCCAAGACGCTAAATAGGTAACTCTAATTAATAGTTAGGGAAGACTTATAACGTCTGGTAATCAGCAGTCTTAACTAAAAGGATTCTAAGGTAGCTAAATTCCTTGGCTGATGTACCTTTTGCATAATGAGTCAGCGAGTAAATATTAATAGCAAGATATAAAAGAAGTCCTAGTGAAAACGACTTAATCATTTTTAATGGTTATGGTAGAAGTTATTAATATTTGACCCGAAACCTTAAGATTTAGCCATGGTCAGATTTATTGGATCGAACAGGTGAGTGTTGCAAAACTCTCTGATGAACTGTGGCTGGCGAAGTGAAAGACAAATCTGTTGAGGATAGCTGGTTCTCCACGAAATATATCTTAGTATAGACTGTAAAGAAAAATTCTAATCCTGTACAGCACTGATATTCATATCATTTTTGATTAAATAGGGGGGTTTATTAAACTCTACCTTTGAATGTTAACCTCGGAATTGGTTAGAATGATATTACAGATTCAGACTATTTGTGATAAGGTGGATAGTCAAAAGGGAAACAGCCCTGAACACATGTTAAAGTTCTTAAATTAATATTAAGTGAATGTAAGGATGTTTTAATTCGATGACAGTTATGAAGTGTATCTGGAAGTCGTAATCTAATAATGAAAGTGTAACAACTCAATAACCTACTGGTATTTTATTTAGAAATAAATAATTTACTGAATTGAAGCGCCGAAAATTCATAGGATCTTTAAATATTATACTGATACTGTGTTTGCATATAAAAATTATATGTAAGGTAGTGGAGTGTTCTATTATAGGACGAAGGTTAGTTTTTATATTAACTGGACTTAATAGAAGTAATAATGCTGATATGAGTAACGTAATAACAGGTTAAACCCTGTACCTCTTAAGCGATAGGTTTCTTATTAAATGTTAAACAGAATAAGTTTAAACGGTCTCTAAGGTAAATAAACTTATGTTTATGACTGATGAGGAATTTATATAAAAAGTTTTTCTTTTAAAACTCAGGAAAATGTATAAATATTCACCGTACTAAAAACCGACACAGGTTCGCGCATAGAGTATATCAAGAGGTGAATCAATTACCCTTAAGGAACTCGGCAAATTGCACTCGTACGTTAGACAATAAGAGTGACCACACTAAGTGGTATCATACAATCGGGACCTGCGACTGTTTCCCAAAAACACAGATCTCTGCAACGATTAATTTCTTAGTATAGGGATCGAGTCCTGCTCAGTGCCAAGACGCTAAATAGGTAACTCTAATTAATAGTTAGGGAAGACTTATAACGTCTGGTAATCAGCAGTCTTAACTAAAAGGATTCTAAGGTAGCTAAATTCCTTGGCCTTAAGGAACTCGGCAAATTGCACTCGTACGTTAGACAATAAGAGTGACCACACTAAGTGGTATCATACAATCGGGACCTGCGACTGTTTCCCAAAAACACAGATCTCTGCAACGATTAATTTCTTAGTATAGGGATCGAGTCCTGCTCAGTGCCAAGACGCTAAATAGGTAACTCTAATTAATAGTTAGGGAAGTCTTATAACGTCTGGTAAACAGCAGTCTTAACTATAAGGATTCTAAGGTAGCGAAATTCCTTGGCCACTAATTATGGTCCTGCATGAATGGAAGCACGATGGGTCCACTGTCTCAAGGGTAAGTTCAGTGAAATTGGAGTGGTCGTGAAGATACGATCTAACTGCAGATAGACGGGAAGACCCTATGCAGCTTTACTGCAGCTAACTATTGTAATAGTAAAAATTCCGTTCAGGGTAGATGGTAGTGTATATTAATTTATACACGTTGATGAGACACCATCCTTAATTTTTCACTATTATTCACCTATTATTGGAACAGTAGTTAGTGGGTAGTTTGCTTGGGACGAGCTTCTCTTAAAAGGTATCAGAGAAATGCAAAGTAAAACCAAGTTCGGATGGAAACCGAAAGATTGTTGTAAATCTAAGTTAATGTAATAGTTTAAGTTTTGCTGACTGTGAGACAGATATGTCAATCAGGTACGCAAGTAGGTTATAGTGATCCGCCAGTACCGTATGAGAGGGCTGGCGCTAATTAGATAAAAGCTAGGTCTTATAAAATAGAAAGTTTTATTCCCATATTTATTATCTAATAGATAAGACAAACCATAAAACAAATATAATTTTTTAAGCGTGGCCTTAATCACTGATTAAGAATATAATTTTATGCTAGAATGTACTAATATTTAGATAGCTAGTAATAATACTAAAAATGTTATATGAATAGTACAAATTAGCAGTTATAATAATTAATTAAGAGATTTTATATTATAGCTTATTTTTTATAAGTAAGTATGAATAAATCCATGAATAATCTTTAAATAGATTTATAAATTGACGCTAGGGATAACAGCTTTATCCCCGGAGAGAGTCCATATTGTCCCGGGGGCTTGAGACCTCGATGTCGACTCATCCTAGCTCAGGTGTGCATCAGCACCTAAGAGTTCAACTGTTCGTTGATTAAAAGGGTACGCGAGTTGGGTTCAGTACGTCGTAAGACAGTACGTTCCCTATCTTCTGCAGTAACAATATGTTAATGTTAGAGCATTATCTAGTACGAAAGGACCGATAAATGATCTATCTCTGGTGACACAGTTGTAATTTTTATTGCATTTGCTGTTAAGCTAAATAGATTTGTGAGAAGTTCTGAATGCATCTTAAGAACGAAACCAACTAACGGAAACATACTATTCTAATATATTTAGAATAAAAAGAGGAAGACTACCTCTATAGGCAAATAATGTTAATTCGTAAGAATGTAGTTTGTTTGTACTAATTTTTTATAAATGACTTAACAATTACATATGCTCCATCTTATTAAAAAAAAGAAAACACAAAATAACACAAAAAATCTAAAATTTTTATAATCTAAAATTTAATAAATCTATATAAAGTGTACTATACTATATTAATTGGGTGTATAACTTGGTGTATTTTTATTGTCTTTGATATAGGTCATCCATACATATATAATATAAAATATTGCAATAGCAGATAATAACAAAAATATCAGTAATAATATTTAACTTAGTAAAAATTATAACTACTATTATTTTTGTTAATTAAAAATTTATAATATAATAGTAGATGTTGGTATATTTGTTATAAATGTTGTATATACATTAATATGTAATCCTTAACAGTATATTGTTAATTTATTATAATTCTTAATAGTGTATAGGTGTATATAAGATAATACTTTAGTCATCAGCACATGATATAATTATGTTTGGTTTTAATTGTATATAAAAAATATAGGTAATGTCTCGTTAGTAGTCATCTCTAATTAAAGAGTATGTTAATTTTATTCATCAACTATGATCCAAGCAGCAAAATTCATCGGAGCTGGACTAGCTTCTATCGGACTATGTGGAGCTGGAGTAGGGATTGGAATGGTTTTTGCAGCATTAATTAACGCTGTATCTAGAAACCCTAGTCTACGTGGACAACTATTCTCATACTCTATTCTAGGATTCGCCCTAGCTGAAGCTACAGGATTGTTCGCCTTAATGGTAGCATTCTTAGTACTATTCTCATAGATACCATCAATTTGATACTTCCATGTATCATTTCTAACAATATTTACTATTTAGTATTTATTGTTAGTAGTCGTCTATACATATTATATATTTTAATTAGAGAGAAAAGAAAATAATTGTTTATAAAAAAATATAAAATTATAGGTATTAGGTTTAAATTTTTAAAAATCTATAGTACTTGTTACATTTTTATACGTTAATTGTTTGGAAAATATAAAAGTTTTGTACTTTAATAGATAATATCTGTTATTTGTATTGTAGTTAAAGAAAAAAGATGATGAAAGGTTTTAACAAATACGGTTTCTACCCTTTGTCTCATTTCTAGTGTAAATCTTAGACAAAATCTGGATTTATGGATGCAGGTTTATGGTAAAGGTGGTGTTTCTGCATGGTTAAATACTATTACTGGTGACCTTTATATTGGTAGAGATTTAAGAAGAGCATTAAGTTATCTATCTGATTCTTATAAGAAAACTAATGCCAATACTAGAGTAGTCAAAAATATGGAATAAAATTTTAAGTTTTGTGTATTAGAAGAATTTGACAAATAGATAAAATCTCGAATAAAGACACTTATGGTGAACTTAAAGTTTACAATAGTGCATTGATTATAGACGTCATGCATATCCTGATCTAACTAAATCTGAAAAGATGATGGGTGATAAAAATCACTTTTTTGGTAATAAACATACGGATAGGCTATTCTTTCATAACAAATATAAAAACTCCAATTAGACCAAGTGTTGTAGTTGAATGGATTGATCTTAAAAATGAGGAAAAAGGAGTGCAAGTTAGTCTTTCTATTCACATATTAGGTAAGGATTGGGCTTGAAAACTAATATTCTAAAAGGACTGAAACAAGGTCAGGTAGATATAAAATTCTATCACATACTAATTCTGAAAATAGTAAGAAGTAGTATAGTGTATTTTATAAAATTATTATACCTAAAGTTTCATCAGGTTGATATGTGTTGATATTTCTGATATTTATTTAAAAAAAAGATAAGATACCATCAATTTGATACTTTCATGTATCATTTCTAACAATATCTGCTATTTAGTATTTATTTTTAATCGTCTATACATAATTATTAGATTTATTTACATTGCTATTATAGCAGATTAAAGAGAATAATTATTTATAATAAAAAATAAAAATTATAGGTATTGGATTTTAAATTTTTTTAATCTATTGTACTTGGAAACAAGTAATATTATACGTTAATTGTTTGGATTTATATAAAAGTTTATTACAATAGTATAAATCTTCTATTATTGTAGTTTAATTAATAATTTGTCAAAATTTATAAAATTGAATTTTATTATCAATTAACTAGTAAGTAGTAACAGTAGAATGTTTAGATATTTTACTGATTCTCAGTTAGAAATAATTCTAAGTATTTCTCCTATGTTTGACGGAGATGAATTTTATGGGAATCGTAATGAAACTGCATGATTTTTAGTAGTTAAAAAGATAGTAAAAGACATAAAAATATAGACTAATTAATACATCTAAAAATTTATATTTAGATAAAAAACTCTTAGTTATTTAGAATTAAAATCTAAGACTCATATCGATGAAGTTGTTAAGTTCTTTTATTTTTCTATCCATTAACAGGTTATAAAGCTACACAATACAACAATTGGATTAAAACTCTATATAAATATAGAAGAAGAAGATGATAATCAATAATAACCCTAACTTTAATACCTTGATTGTTTGATGAGATTTGGAGGTGATACTTGGTTAGCTGTCGTATATACATAATATTATATAAACGTAAGAAATATTATTAATAAAAAATTTAAAAGTAATATATTGCATAATTAATAAACCAATACCGTATTATAAACTTTTTATAGGTTTGTCTATTTTAGATGAGTTTAGTTTAGTTTAAAAATAGACAATTTTTAACCATTTTTATTATATCTAATAGACTTTTTAGGATTTTATTTTTATCATACAATTTAGTTTTATTTTTTTGAATAAATCATAGAATATTTAAAAGATTTAGTGATTTTTGAATTATGGAGTTTGTTAATTAAATTTTATTATAGGTAAATATAGTGTAACTTTTATAATATAAAGTTATAATATATACTTAATGGGTTATACTATAGGATTTTAAAAGGGTCTTTTAGGTCTATAAAATGCAAATATGCTGAAATTGGTAGACAGGCTCGTTTTAGGTACGAGTGACAATTATGTCATGGCGGTTCGAGTCCGCCTATTTGTATAAAGTTAAGTTAATATTTCAATATTATATTAATAATAATAAGTAATATATTAATGTTAAAGTCAGTATTATTTAATTTTTATTTTAATTTATTTAATTAATGCGTCTTTAGCTAAACGGTCAAAGCGTCCATCTACGAAATGGGAGAATTACGGTTCGATTCCGTAAAGGCGTTAATAATATATCAATAACTTCTATAAGTAAATAATATAAAAAGTCATATTAAAAGTCATCCATATATAAAAATAAAAATCATTGAATAATCAAAACTATTTATATTTAGGTAATATGGTATTTTAATAAATATCATATTCATATAAATATCATTATATATATATGTATCTTCTACTTAATTATATTTAAAAGTTTATTTAATAATAAAATGTACTGATCATTATTGATAATAATAAGGTTAATTCATTAATCACTCACTTTATTTCTTTTTATAGATGATAAAAATAATTATTAATGGTATTGGTTATATATGATATATTTTAATCAATATTACACTTATCTTTAATGTATAATATAAAAATAGCTTATATAAATTTAAGTTTTTACAAATATTTTTATCGTCATGTGTTAGTAAATAATATAATTTATTAAATATTTAATTTGATATTCTAGTTTTAATTATAATATTTTTTAATCCCTTCATTTTACTATACTTATAAATTTCATAAAATTAATAAACCTATTAAATATTTCTAATCTAAATTTTTCTAATAGTAATCTAGTAATAATATAACTTAATCCTTATTTATTAAATGTATCTAATAGCTATATAACTAAATAACTCTATATATTTCATTAATATAAATGCTAGAATACATATATTTATTTATTTTACTGAATTGATAATTAGATATCTATATAAACTAATACTGGTTATCAACTTTCAATAAAGATAATATATAATCTAATATGTACATAATTTTATTAATTCTCAAGCATATGATTAATATAACTTTTACTGGTTTTACTTTATTAACTATTACTAATAGGACCTAGCCGAATACTCGTTTACTAACCAGTATATGCAACCAAGGTGAATTTCAACTATTGAACAGTCATCTATCAATAATTTAATTCTATTCCTGTGTTAATTTACCTTCTTTCATATCTTGATTAAAAACCTTTTAGTTTCATATATTTTATAATATCTTTAAATTGTTATTTATTTCCTAATTGTATTATTACACAACCAATAGATCTTTAATATGCTGAAATTGGTAGACAGGCTCGTTTTAGGTACGAGTGACAATTATGTCATGGCGGTTCGAGTCCGCCTATTTGTATAAAGTTAAGTTAATATTTCAATATTATATTAATAATAATAAGTAATATATTAATGTTAAAGTCAGTATTATTTAATTTTTATTTTAATTTATTTAATTAATGCGTCTTTAGCTAAACGGTCAAAGCGTCCATCTACGAAATGGGAGAATTACGGTTCGATTCCGTAAAGGCGTTAATAATATATCAATAACTTCTATAAGTAAATAATATAAAAAGTCATATTAAAAGTCATCCATATATAAAAATAAAAATCATTGAATAATCAAAACTATTTATATTTAGGTAATATG